AAACCTCTTTCTCCTTCTTTGAAACCCCCATTCCGATCCTATTTATCATCTTCGAACCCCCACTCCCACCCTCTCTCTTTCTCTTCGAACCTCGGTGCCTCACACTTTTCTTCTTCTTCTTATTTGTTGAACTTTCCATTTTTTTTCTCCTTCTTCAACATTCCCCCATCCCACCCTCATTTCCTTTCTATCAGTAAAACCCAAAAAATGTGATGAATAGGGAAAAAATAGAAAAGCCATCGATTTGTTCTTGCTTCAAATTAAAATTAGTATTTATGGCAAGGTTTGAATGTGATGAACTAAGCTCTTTTTAATGTAAATCTACAATTTTTTCATCTCAAATTAAATTTTCAGTTGTTATTATTTATTTGTTTTGATTATGTGTCTTAAAAATTGAATGTGTTTTTGTGAGAATGGTTTTGAGATTTTTAATCTCTTTCAACTGAAAATTTGTTCTTTTTTGAGATTATTTTTCTTATAATCATCGATTAATTCTTATTTTTTGAGATTTTTTTTTTTTACTTTCTAAAATTGTAAATAAATAAAAAGAAACAAAAAAGAATTAAAAATGTTTAATGTTTAATGTGATGCTGATGTGGCAATGATGTGGTGCCATGTGTATCAATGACATGGCGCGTGTGGAATGCACTTGCCATTGTGAGACTGGTATTATAATATTAGGGTGTATTTTAATTCACTTGAAAAGAGATTAGGCGTAAATAATTATCCGTAAAGTTATAGTGCTAAAGTAAGTTTTGCAGCCAAGTTCAGGGGGAATTTTATGTATTTTCTCTTTATTTAATAACACTGCTAATAATACTATAGCGTGATCATAATGTGGGGGATTGGAGTGACAAACTGCAAATTGGGCTGATATATGTGTGTAATTTTTTAAGGTTACAAATGAGAAGGTCAAAGCCCTCATGGAGTTGGCAGGGTTGAAGCGGGACCATCAGTTATTGCAAGAGTATGTTTCTATATCCAGTTAACTGTGTATAAATTAGGAACAGCTTCATTTTTTTCTCCATTGTTTTTCATGGTACGCTTCTCTGTCAAAGGAAGATCTTAAGACCTGCCTTCTCAAAAAGGAATTATTGTGGAATTTTCCTTGGAAGATTAACTATGGGCTTTATCAATCTTTTAAGATTCTGAAAGGAAATTACTTAAGACTGGCATGAAGGCGGGGGGGTGAATAATGACATTTATTTATTATAGCAATAAACATGAGTGTGAACGCGAAAAACATAAGAAAGCAGGAAGGTTAGAATGTCATCCATTATAAGCAGTAGTGATGGGTTTGAACAGGAAAAACATGGGATAGTATATGGAGATGATACTATTGGTATTTGGTAGCAATAAGACCTGGTTTAAAACAGTGATGAGAGTTTTGACCAGCATGTAAATTGGACTGCTATGCACATCCTCAAAAAAGAACAATAAATAAATTGGACTGCTTTGCCCTTTCTTCCTTGCTCTACTTCTTAACCTATTAAAAGTTACTTGTTCAAAATGGTTACTGCTAGATGGCTAAATGTTGTAGGAAAGTTAATCAGGCCTCTAGACAAGGAAAATCTCTTGGTGAGATTGCAGTGAAAAGGACTCTTCAGGAAAAAGATGGAAGATTGAAAAATCTGCTGAAAACTTCTTATCTGAGACGCTGGACTGGTATACAAGATTCAGATGGAAATGATGCTGACACTCATCGAGATTCTGAAGCCAATAACATGGATTTTGCGAGGTATTGTTTGAAATTTTGTTGATGCTTCTGTTACACTTGAGAACTGCTTCCTACTACTGGTACACTCATAAAGGGAAGTAATGTTACAGAGAATATATTTCCTTGGAATCACATATTTTCTCCTATCATTTCTCTGTTACCCCTTCAGGATGAAGATAGAGAATGCAACTCTAAAAGAGAGCTTAGAAAGTATGGAGCATCTAATTTGTGCAGTTAGGAGGCATCGCCTTTCACTTTTAAAGGTAGTATTTGTTTCCTAGTTTTTGCAGTGGACTTCATTAGAAGCCAATAATTCATCGTAAAGATAGACTGCCTCTCAGGAGAGATGAATGCATAACAAAAATTGCACTTGAGGTAGCGATCAGAAAAGATATCGCACGTTCTGGATTAATCATATAACATTGCATAGCTTAATGTTTTATTTAGTCTACTTGAGGTGATGAAAAATATCTAGCTCAATCTTTGTCCTGTAAGGAAATTCCCTAAGGTTTGACCATTGCAAGTTGCTTGATAAAATGTGTTGTATTATGTAGTTTAAAGAGCCAGCTGCATCCAAAGGTATGGAGAACTGCTCCCTGGAGTCATTGGACAATATTATTAATGAGGCAAGTCAGTTAAAAACTGCACTTGGAATCTCCCTCCCTCTTAGTTGGTCAGTAGAGGCAGATTCGGGATCATTCAGCAAACGTGTTGAAGAGGAGATAGATAACGGACACTCTACACGTGAAAACATGGACTTTGTCTCTGCTGCTGGATTTGAGATGGTTGAGCTTCTGGTGTTTGTTGCACAGCTATTGAAAGAGAATAAATGTAGTTGATGCGAAGGAGGTGTTGATTGAATTGGAGTATGGTTGGAAGTTGTTTCTTGTATATTAATTCTGGATTTTGGAAAGGTACAAAATCCATTGCTGTAACATAACATAACTATTAGAAGCTTTCTCGAGTCACTGCTCAGTTATATTTTTTAACATACACAGAGATGATTTCTTTTGCTGGATAAATCAACTATTTTTTGATGTGGGATAGACTATGTAATTTGAAAAAGATGAGATCATTCAAAATAATAATCAAATTTACCCCCTTTTTAATTTTTTTTCTTTTTGTAATAACTAATGCATTAATTTGTTTTTATTGTTGGTACTTTCTCAATTGGATGCTTAGTGTTAGAACTTCCTAACCATTTGTTCCCTCGTGCCATACAAAGAGACTTTGCTTCCAAATGATATTCAGTTCAATATATTTCGAGTTAGCCACAAAGGAAAATAGCAATGTAAGATATAGTTGTTTTAGTAGAACATGAATAAAGGTAAATGGTTCACACTCATTTTAGAGGATAAAACAAATACTTTGTGCGACTTTAAGTTTTTCCTTCGAACTTAACTTTCAAGTGATTGACATTCTAAACCTCTAAAATCTTGTTCGTAGTAACTAAAATATATATAATACAAAACCTAAGCACTTCAGAAAAAGTCACGTAAATACAAGAAATTGGGTGGCGACTATAGTCGCTACAAAAGACCACAAATTCGCCACGAATTACCTTTAGTGGCGACTGTAAGCTGCTGCAAGTACTTCCCTAGCTAGGAATCTCCTTGACGATTATATGTTTAGCAACGACTGAAAACACCACAACAGGGCATTTGGTCTAGTGGTATGATTCTCGCTTTGGGTGCGAGAGGTCCCGAGTTCGATTCTCGGAATGCCCCTTTTTTTTATTTTATGTAATTTGTTTAGCTTCTAGTTAAACAGTGATTATTATTACATAATTCCACTTTTAGTCGTTGTGTTATTGAAATATGCACATTTTAACCTTCAACTATTTGAAGTATGCGATTTTGATCTCTAAAGTTAACAAAAGTTGACTATTTAACAAAACAATTATTTTAAAATATATAAATAAAATAAATCAAAGGGTTAGTGATTCTAAATGCTTGAAAAAGTATGTGTATGACAAAATTTGAATTTAATAAAAAATAAATGTTAAATTTTTTTAAGACTGAAAGTTGTTAGGACACCATTGATAACCTTAAGAAGTCTGTCCACCTATTAAATCTTTCAAATGTAATTGTATTTGACCTTGATTAGTAACCATTGACAAAATGAGGAAGAACGAGTTACTAATGAATAAAAAATAGAGCAAACAGAGAAGTAAATGATCAATTTATATATTTAAAATAATCATTCTAATTGTATATTTTTTAAAAATATTTAAATATAATTTTTAATTTTATATACATAATTCTTCAAGCATTTAGTGACACCAACCCTTTATTTTATATATTTTCAAATAATTTTTGTTAAATAGTTAAGTTTTGGCTGCCAGTGAGATCTAGCAATTCAATCACCCATATACTACAAGCTAAAACTGATGTTTTTACAGAAAATATAACTTCTATTCAAAGATTTTGACATTCACGTGAGGTAAACAAAGCCAAACCTTTCAAAGAAAAAAAACAATGCCAAATGAAATATACTATTTATAGAAGAGGATAAATGAAATTACATCCTTAAATTTATCAATCATGGGCATTTGGTCTAGTGGTATGATTCTCGCTTCGGGTGCGAGAGGTCCCGAGTTCGATTCTCGGAATGCCCCTTTTTTTTATTTTATGTAATTTGTTTAGCTTCTAGGCGAGAGGTCCCGAGTTCGATTCCCGGAATGCCCCTCTTTTTTTAAAAGTTTAATGCAAAAAATAATTCAATCTCCTTGTAGTCAACAATGTACCAGCTGGACAAGTAGTAGTATTTTGTAAAACAATCAGCAAATTGATGTCCTGAAAATTGCAGCCATTTATATATGTTTACTGAGATTCAAACTATAAATTAAAATCTGGTCACATGCAGACAATTTAATGCCACCGGGGAATCAATAGTGTACAATTCAGATGAGGTAAGGACTAAGGACTATCAGAATTTTATATTGCAGATGAGAAATGGCAATTATGATCAAATAACTCACATCAGGAAACTCATTTTGACAAACTCAAAGATAGAAAATACTAACAACTGGGCATTTGGTCTAGTGGTATGATTCTCGCTTTGGGTGCGAGAGGTCCCGAGTTCGATTCTCGGAATGCCCCAACTAATATCAACTTTTTTACATGCAAAATTAAGCAGGCCATAAATGGCTAACCTAGCTCAATTGACTAGAGATATAAGAAAACACACTTCATAGTTTCTTTTCTGCGGTCTCGGAGTTATCATACAAATGCTATAATTTACCCTCCACCTTAATTTCAACTAGCACACAACCTCACCTTGTCATCTTGGATGACTTAGTGTTAACCTTATTGCAAGATTGTCTACAGGGAACATAAACAGTGGGTACTTAGTCTAGTCGTATGATTCATCGGTGCAAGATTCTTAGTATTTTGTAAAAAGAATCAGCATTGAGATTGATGTTCTGAAAATTGCAGCAAGTTCATCAGTCATTTATAGAACTAAGATTAAAAAAAAATAGAATTCACACTTGGTCACATGCTGACAATTTAATGCCACAGGGGAATCAATATACTGTAAATTAAAAAAAAGACCATTTGTACAGTCTAAAACTAACTTTCTTTTGTCAATGCATGTACCAAACCTTACCTAATGCTTGACTTCAAGAGCTCTTCATTGTTTCCATTTTTGTAAGCTGATCTCCAGTCAACTACAAAACTCAATCGACTGTCTTCATAAAACAAAATTTGCAGGTAAAGATTCTTTTAATTCATGTTAATGGATAAACCCAATGGCATGAGCACTTGAAGCTGAATAAGAGTAAATCTAGATCTATAAGCTAAAAATTAAAATAATACATCATGAATACTTGCAATGGTGCAGAGTTGGGCTTGCCTGTTCAGTTTAAAGATCTGAAACTCCAACGTTCAACATCTAACTCCCAAAAGATCCCTAAATATAAAATGTTGGACAGATAAGTTCTCGAGTATCTCAAATATCACAAGCCATCATTTCAGATATGCTTTTTTGCCATCCATTCTCAATTTGACAAAGCAGGCAAAACTTAATGAAGTTGGTACATGGATTTGTCGTAACATCAAAGAATCATTATAGATACAAGGTCATTTACAGGTCAAGGAAGTTTACAATAACAACTGATATCATTAATCAAGGAAGCTCTCTGAATTTCAAGTCAAAATAAGGAATGAAACGGATATCCACAGTTCATGAGCCATTTTCATTTCACTTGAGTGAAACAAAGAAGCATGAACTTCATTGTACCATGTTGCTTTGCACCCAAAATCGCATAACATGAGCTGCACCATTCCATGAAACAAGTGATAATGATATAGCTTAACAAAGAAGGTATCCAAAAGAGAACTGGAAGTAAGAGAACCCAGAAAAAAGCACATGGTTAACTATCAATGGGATAATCCTTAGTGGAGATTTTATTTGCTTCAGCTGTAACTAGAACGATGAAGCTCAAACATGAAATATTAATTCAGCTAACGCCGGAGACCTGGCCTCATGTCCAATGACAGTTCTTAATCACTACACAGATCTCACGTGTTTTGGATTCCAGATGACCAAAGGGTTGAGTATGATAGCATAGGATTGTAAATATACAAGTGACAGTAACAACCAAAGCTGATAGCATCTATAGGCATCGAGAAAAGTAATTTGAGGAACTGCAGAGGCATATTATTTTAAGCAACCTTCTATATACACCTCACATCCAAATAAAAAGTACTCAAGAACATTTTTTTTGATAATTAAGTACTCAAGAACATTTAAGCAAGCAAATGAAGATCATATGGTGTAAAATACGGATTATTTGAATTCTATATTACAGTAAGCAATGACAATTGTGTGATCAAATAGCTGACAAAGCTAAAATACATTTGACTAAAATTCAAATAAGACAATGTCAACGATGGGCATTTGGTCTAGTGGTATGATTCTCGCTTTGGGTGCGAGAGGTCCCGAGTTCGATTCTCGGAATGCCCCTTAATTTATAAAAGTTTTTATTTACTCTAAGATGATTTAACTTTTCAAAGGCTCAAACAATGGAGAATGTTTATCTCACCTAGAAAATTTTTGCACAAAATGGTACAAGCTCCAGACAACCAATATCAACTTCAAACTATTATTACCACTGAGGGACCAACAAGAACTGGGCATTTGGTCTAGTGGTATGATTCTCGCTTTGGGTGCGAGAGGTCCCGAGTTCGATTCTCGGAATGCCCCTTAATTTATAAAAAAAATTATTTACTCTAAGATGATTTTAACTTTTCAAAGGCTCAAACAATGGAGAATGTTTATCTCACCTAGAAAATTATTGCACAGAATGGTACAAGCTCCAGACAACCAATATCAACTTCAAACTATTATTACCACTGAGGGACCAACAAGAACTGGGCATTTGGTCTAGTGGTATGATTCTCGCTTTGGGTGCGAGAGGTCCCGAGTTCGATTCTCGGAATGCCCCCATCTAATACAACTTTTTAATTCATTTTACTTGCAACTCTGCTCCTTCACTCTATTTTCTAAGTGATAGTACATGCAAATTAAGCAGGGTCATTTATGTAACTAAGATTCAAAAAAATAGAATTCACACTTGGTCACATGCTGACAATTTAATGCCACAGGGGAATCAATATTCTGTAAGTTTATTAAAAAAAGACCATTTGTACAGTCCAGACTTAACTTTGTTTTGTCAATGCCTGTACCAAATCTTAACTAATGCTTGACTTCAAGAGCTCTTCGTTGTTTCCATTTTTGTAACCTGATCTCCAGTCAACTACAAAACTCAATCGACTGTCTTCATAAAACAAAAATCGCAGGTAAAGATTCTATTTATTCATGTTAATGGACAACCAAATGGCATGAGCACTTGAAGCTGAATAAGGTAAATCTAGATCTATAAGCTAAAATTTAATACATCATGAATACTTGCAATAGTGCAGAATGGGGGGCTTGCCTGTTCAGTTTACAGATCTGAAACTCCAACGTTCAAAGTCTAACTCCCAAAAGATCCCTAAATAAATGTTGGAAAGATCAGTTCGAGTATCTCAAATATCACAAGCCATCATTTCAGATATGCTTTTTTGCCATCCATTTTCAATTTGATAAAGCAGGAAAAACTTAAATGTGAAGTTGGTACATGGATTTGTCGTAACATCGAAGAATCATTATGTTTGATCTATAACAAGATCATTTACAAGTCAAGGAAGTTAACAATAAAAACTGAGCATCATTAATCAACGACACAGATCTTCCACAAAATCAAGGAAGTTCTCTGAATTCAAGTCAAAATACGGAATGAAACGGATATCCATAGTTCATGAGCCATTTTAATTACACTTAAGTGAAACAAAGAAGCATGAACTTCATTGTACCATGTTGCTTTGCACCCAAAATCGCATAACATGAGCTGCACCATTCTATGAAACAAGTGATACTGATATAGCTTAATAAAGAAGGTATTCAAAAGAGAACTGGAAGTAAGAGAACCCAGAAAAAAACCCATGGTTAACTATCAATGAGATACTCCTTAGTAAATATTTTATTTGCTTCAGCTGTAACTAGAACGATGAAGCTCAAGCATGAAATGTTAATTCAGCTAACGCTGGAGACCTGGCCTCATGTCCAATGACAGTTCTTAATCACTACACAGATCTCACGGGTTTTGGATTCCAGATGACCAAAGGGTTGAGTATGATTACATAGGATTGTAAATATACAAGTGATAGAAGCAACCAAAGCTGATAGCATCTTTAGGCATCGAGAGAAGTAATCAGAGGAACTGCAGAGGCATATTATTTTAAGCAACCTTCTATATACACCTCAGATCCTAATAAGCAAAGTACTCAAGAACATCTAAGCAAGCAAATGAAGATCATATGGTGTAAAATAAGGATTATTTGAATTCTATATTACAGTAAGCAATGACAATTGTGATCAAATAGCTGACACAGCTAAAATACATTTGACTAAAATTCAAATAAGACAATGTCAACAATGGGCATTTGGTCTAGTGGTATGATTCTCGCTTTGGGTGCGAGAGGTCCCGAGTTCGATTCTCGGAATGCCCCTTGATTTTGCTAAAGTTTTAATTTACTCTAAGTTAATTTAACTCACCAACTCCTTCATCACTAGCTGATTCTACAGTTGAGTATGTTAAGATATTAAAACCAGCTATGGGAAGCCTCCCCCTTTCTACTACTAAAACACCTTTAATTGCAATGTTATGTCTCTCTGTATACATTATTTTAACATTGGAGGAGCCCCTAGGCACAGGAGAATTTCATCCTCCTAGAAAATCATTTCATAAGATGGTATAAGCTCCAGACAGCTGGAGATGAAACTTCCAGCTATCATTTAGACTGGGGGACCAACAAAATAGGGCATTTGGTCTAGTGGTATGATTCTCGCTTCGGGTGCGAGAGGTCCCGAGTTCGATTCCCGGAATGCCCCTTTATTTTGCTTAAGTTTTATTTACTCTTAAGTTGATTTAACTCTCCAAATGCTCCTTCATCTGTAACTGACTCTACATTCGCCGTAGGAGAATACTTCCTCCTCTACAGTTGAGTTTGTTCAGATACAACCAGATATGACCAACTTTAATAATGTCTACAATTACAGCACCTTTAATAGCATAGTATGCCTCTCTCGATATATATTATTTTAACAAAGGGAGGAAGGGAGGGAGAGGGAGGAAATGGTCTACTATGAACACTTATAATTTGGATGAAAGAAAATGACCTTTTCAGATCTCTTATGTAAGAATGAAGATCTTTATAGTACTAAAAACAAATTCATAAAAGGCCATAACACCGATTGACCCGAGGAAGGATCCCTCACACTGGAGAATGCTCATCCCTCCAAGAAAATCATTTCGAAAAATGGCACAAGCTTACAAGTGACATGAAACTTCCAGCTATTATTTAAAATTGAGGGACCAACAAACAGCAGGGCATTTGGTCTAGTGGTATGATTCTCGCTTTGGGTGCGAGAGGTCCCGAGTTCGATTCTCGGAATGCCCCCAGCTAAAGTAACTCTTTTACTTCATTTTACTTGTATATCTGCTCCTTCACTCTATTTTCTAATTGATATATTAGAATTAAGCAGGACACTGATGGATAACCTAGAGTGATTGGCCAGAGATCTTACAAGAAAATACACTTTAAAGTCTGCAGTCTCAAAATTATCATACCAACGCTATAATTTACCCTCCACCTTGTTAACAATGGAAGTAGAAAATTTCAACTAGCACACAAGTTCTCATCTTGGATGACTTAGTGTTAATCTTATTGCAACATTGTCTATAAGGAACAAAAATAACTGGGTATTTAATCTAGTTGTATGATTCATGGGTTGAAAGATTCTTAGTATTTTGTTAAAAAAAAAAAACATTGAGATTGATGTTCTGAAGATTGCAGCAAGTTCATCAGCCATTTATGTAACTAAGATTCAAAAAATAGAATTCACACTGGGTCACATGCTGACAGTTTAATGCGACAGGGGAATCAATAATTTTTTTTTAGTTTACTCATTATCAAGATGTAGGACCATTTGTACAGTCAAGACCTAACTTTGCTTTGTCAATGCCTGTACCAAACCTTACCTAATGCTTGACTTCAAGAGCTCTTTATTGTTCCCATTTTGGCAAGCTGATCTCAAGTCTTCATACAAAAATATTTGCAGGTAAAGATTCTTTTAATTCATGTTAATGGATAACCAAATGGCATGAGTCACTTGAAGCTGCACAAGGTAAATCTAGATCTATAACATACAGATTAATACATCATGAATACTTGCAATAGTGCAGAGTTGGTCTTGCCTGTTCAGTTTACAACAAAGCAGATCTGAAACTCCAAGGTTCTACATCTAACTCCCAAAAGATCCCTAAATATAAAATGTCGAACAGACAAGTTCAAGTATCTCTTCTATCATAAGCCATCATTTCAGATTTGCTTTTTTGCCATCCATTTTAAATTTGACAAACCAGGCAAAACTTAAAAGTGAAGTTAGTACATGGATTTGTTGTAACGTCAAAGAATCATTAAGTTTGATCCATAACACGGTCATTTAGGGGTCAAGGAAGTTAACAGTAAAAACTGAAATCGTTAATCAATGACATAGAGGTGTTGTGCAAAACCAAGGCAAAAGCTCTCAAAATTTCACGTCAATATAAGGAATAAAGCCGATATCCATAGGTCATGAGCGATATATATTGCACTTTAGTAAGAAAAAAAAAAGCAGGAGCATTATTGTACCAAGTTGCTTTGCACCCAAAAATTATATAGCATGAAAATTACTTAACATGATCTGCACTATTCCATGAAACAAGTAATGATGCTATTATAGATAATAAAGAAGGTACCCAAAAGAGAACTGGAAGAGAACCCAGCAAAAAGCTCATGTTGAACTATAAATGTGATACTCCTTATTGGAGCTTTTATTTGCTTCAGTTGCGACTTAACTCGATCTATGAAGCTCAAACATGTAATATTAATCCAGCTAATGCCAGACACCTGGCCTCATGTCCAATGGAAGTTCTTAATTACTAGACATATCTCATGGATTTTGGATTCCAGATGACCAGAGGGTTGAATATGATAGCATAGGATAGTAAATATACAAGTGACAGTAACAACCAAAGCTGAGAGCGTCTTAGGCATCAAGTGCAGTGAGAATCAGAGGAACTGCAGAGGCATATTATTCTAAGCAACCCTTCTATATACACCTCACATCCAAATAAGCAAAGTACTCAAGAACATTTAAGCAAGAAATGAAGATCATCTGGTGTAAAATAAGGAGTATTTGAATTCTGCATTACAGATAAGCAATGACATTTGGGATCAAATAACTCAAAGGGGGGAAAACATTTGCCTAGAACTCAAATAAGACAATGCCAACAATGGGCATTTGGTCTAGTGGTATGATTCTCGCTTTGGGTGCGAGAGGTCCCGAGTTCGATTCTCGGAATGCCCCTTCATTTAGCTAAATTTTTTAATTTACTCGAACCTAATTAACTCTCCAAGGGCTCATTCATCTCTGGCTGATTCTACAGTTGAGTATGTTTAGATATTACAACCAGATATGGGAAACTTCCCCCTTTCTACAACTACTTCCAATGTTATGTCTCTCTGTATACATTATTTTTACATTGGAGGATCCCCCAGACACAGGAGAATTCTCATCCCTCCTAAAAATCATTTCATAAGTTGATACTCCAGACAACTGAATATGAAACTTCCAACTATCATTTAGATTGGGGGACCAACAAAAGCAGGGCATTTGGTCTAGTGGTATGATTCTCGCTTTGGGTGCGAGAGGTCCCGAGTTCGATTCTCGGAATGCCCCTTGATTTTGCTAAAGTTTTATTTACTCTTAAGTTGATTTAACTCTCCAAATGCTCCTTCATCTGTAACTGACTCTGCAGTGCCATAGGAGACAATTTCCTCCTCTACAGTTGAGTTTGTTCAGATACAACCAGATATAACCTACTTCAATAATGTCTGCAATTAAAGCACCTTTAATAGCATAGTATGCCTCTCTATATACATTATTTTAACAAAGGGAGGGAGGGAGAGGGAAGAAATGATCTCCTATGACTACTTACAAATTGAATAGAAGAAAATGACCTTTTCAGATCTCTTATATGTAAAAATGAAGATATCTATAAAACTAAAATCAAATTCGTAAAGGACCATAACACCGATTGACCCAAGGAAGGATCCCCCCAGGTCCCCAGAGACTAGAAAATGCTCATCCCTCCAAGAAAATCATTTTGAAAAATGGTACAAGCTCAAGACAACTGACACGAAACTTCTAACTATTTCTTAGACTGAGAGACCAACAAACAGCTGGGCATTTGGTCTAGTGGTATGATTCTCGCTTTGGGTGCGAGAGGTCCCGAGTTCGATTCTCGGAATGCCCCTTGATTTTGCTAAAGTTTTAATTTATTCTAAGTTGATTTAACTCACCAAGGGCTCCTTCATCTCTTGCTGACTCTACAGTTGAGTATATTCAGATATTACAACCAGATATTGAAAACTTCCCACTGTCGACAACTAAAACACCTTTAATAGCATTGTTATGTCTCTCTGTATACATTATCTTTAGCATTGGAGGAGCACCTAGACACGGGAGAATTCTCATCCCACCAAGAAAAAACATTTCATAGGATGGTATAAACTCCAGATAATTGAACATGAAACTTCCAGCTATCATTTAGACTGGGGGACCAATAAAAGCAGGGAATTTGGTCTAGTGGTATGATTCTCGCTTTGGGTGCGAGAGGTCCCCGAGTTTGATTCTCGGAATGCCCCAAATTTTTAAGTGCCTTTTTACAAGCCTGTACTCCTGATAGTTATAAAGGATTTTAAGGCAAATGTAGGATATCCATTTAACACTTTGCTGAATATTCAATAGTGAGATTTGTGTTCTGGAAACTGCAGTAAGCACATCATGCATTTATGAATTTGGTAGGATTCCAATGATTAATGGTTATTCATCTTAGACAGTTAAAATTAATTAGTTTAGTAATCCAAACAGTTCTAGAACTGATTCTTCTTTCTAGTGTATTTTAGTAAACCACATATATTGCTTGACTCGCAGAGCTCTTTCCAGTCTCCTGTTCAGTACATATTCTGATGTAAAGTCAGCCAAGTCAATCAGCCAAAAGTCATGTTTTTTCAAATAACAACATTTAGGCCAAGATGCATCCTTATCAAATAAAGAAAATGGAATGGCAAGACTTGATGCTCTGAAAGCTAATCTTTTCAGAACTACAAGATAAAAATAACAAAACACGAGTGCTGGTAGTATATGGATTTGTGCTAACCTCTCTAGTTTACAAGTAAGCAGTTCGGAACTCCAAAATTCAACATAGAACTACCAAGAAATCCCTATATACAAAAGATTAAATAGATTAGCACAAGAATTATCTCACCTATGATAAGGAAAATTTAAAGGTTTGCAGTTTTCCCTTCAGAAATAAATCAAATGTTTGCTTTCCATCAAAGTTTGTTGATATTAGACATGCAGATCAACAATCATAACTGAAATATTTAGCAGAACAGTGTTATTTTTTAAATTCATTTGATGAGGAGCAGAAAGGTGTTACTAAAAATCAAACAGTATCATTCTTTTTGGGAAAAATTTCTCTGATTTCCTACTCACATCTGGAGTTAAAATGGATAACGCTAGTGATGAGTCATTTTATTTCAGTTTACTTGAGCAACGACGCACCATTTCTACAGTCCAGACATAATTATGCTTTGTCAATGCTTGCTCTAAACTTCACCTAGTGTATTGACTTCAAGAGCAGTTTGTTGTTTCCCTTAAGTTAGTGTTTTGATCACAAGTCAACTAAGACACTCAGCCAAATGTCTTCATACAACAATATTTAGAGGCAAAACGCTTTCTATCCACTCTCATGGACAACCAAATGAAACGAGTCACCTAAAGCTGAATAAGGTAAATCTAGATGTATAAGCTAAAAATTAATACATCATGAATACCTGCAATAGCACAGAGTTGGGCTTGCATGTTCAGTATACTGATAAGATCTGAAATTCCAAAGTTCAGAGTCAAACTTTCCAGGGATCCCTGAATATAAAATGCTAAATGGGTAAGTTCAAGTGTCTCAACTGTCATCGGCCATCATTTCAGATATGCTTTCATTTTTGCCATCTGATTCCAATTTGACTAAGCAGGCAAAACTTAAAAGTTAAGTTAGTACCAGGTTTGCCTTTATATCAAAGATTCATAAAGTTTGGATTAAAACATCAATTAGGGATCAAGGGTGTTTTGCCTTGATCACTGATGATCAACGGCTCAGAGGTCTTTCACAAAATTGAGGCAAGAGTTCTCTGGACTTTCACATCAAAATGAGGAATTAAATGGGTATCCATAGTTCAAATACCTATTTTCTTTTCAATTTAGTGAGCTAAAGATGCATGAACATCATTGTACCGTGTTTTTTTGTACCAATTTACATACCATGAGCTACGCCGTTTCATGAAAACAAGTGAAAAGAATCTAAGATAAGGAAGGTAGCTAAAAGAAAATTGGTAATAAGAGAACCCAACGAGAGAGCCCGTTTTAACTACAAATGTGATATTCATAAATTTAGTGGAAGCTTTCTTTACTTCAGCTGTGACTTAACTCAAACTATGATGTACAACTATGCAATACTGATACAGCTAATGACAGAATCCTGGCCTCATGTCCATTGATAGTTCTCAACCACTAGACAGTTTCAACGGCTTTTTTATTCCAGATGCCGAAAAGGTTGAGAATGATAGAAAAGGACTGTAAAGAGACAAGCACCAGTAATAATGAAAGCAGATACAATCTGTATGCACAAGAGCAGCACAAATCAGAGGAAGCTGCAAAGGCGTCATATTTTAAGCAACCCCTCTGAGTATCTAACCATCTCCCATATCCAAATGGGAGCCAGCAAAAGTACCAAATGATGTTGTTATCTTTAAAAAAAAAAAAAACTACCAAAGAATATTAAAGTAATTAACTGGTATGAAATACGGAGCATCTGAAGTCTAAGTTGAAGATGAGCAATAAGATTTACAATCAAATAACTCACAAGGCGAAATTGCCTCAACAAAACAAATTTTATTTCCGGAAAGATCCCTTAAGGCTCAAAGGGGACAACTAGGGATACTTCATGCAAATTGTAGGCTTGGAAAACCTATTATCCAATCCTAAAACAAGCATTTCTACAAACAATTAAAACAAATCCTAGACAAAGTGTGCAAAGGAATTTTCATTAAGTCTCATCGCACATGGCACATGTTAGATTAGATGGGTCCCTTCCAACTCACAATCAAGAATAAATGAAACAAAATCGCATAAATCAAACCACTACCAAGTAGTGAGCAAAGAGTAAACAAATGACCAAGTGTCACTAATAAGACCATTTCTCTCAATGTTATCCACTTTTCCAGCAAAAATTTAGGAGGGATATTCCACAAATTTGAAAGAGTCTAAATAGTGGTACCAGAAAAACAAGTTATCCAAAGAGAGCAATCCAACAAAAACACATTTTTATTCCCTATTAGCTACCAACTACCCCTAAACACACCCGGTTCAAAAAAATTACTTTTTTTGGAAAAGAACTGTGGCTTAAAAAAGGAAAAAAATGTCAAAACCTTATAGACTAAAGATATAACACAGTATTCCAAAATATTATCTCATTAATCACTCGGAGAACTAGTGATAATTTAACATATCAGACTACGAATCACAGGAAAAATAAGAGACAATCCATTTTAAGGGTTGACAATTCAGCCATGGGATGAAGATCAAAGTTACAGTGAGGGAACAGGCTTCATATGTAGATTTAGTTACCACATGAAAGAATCTAAACATCTAATTGAAATGGTAAATCCAGGAAAAAACCAAGTACTTTTAATACATTAATTCTAGCAATGTTGCATTTTTAATTCCTAAAAGGTTCACATATATGAGCTCTCACATGCTAATTGTAACAGCCTGGTAAACCGTTGCCATGAGGCAGGTGCAAACTCGGCCCATTGGCCTCCTCACAAACAATTCTCCACCCTGCCCACCACCAACAGTGAAGATGAACATGTGACCTTGCTTTGAAGCTAATTAAGAGAATCCAAACACACAATTCAAAATGCTAAAGGCAATAAGTGAAGTAGTTTAAGATTTTAATAACCTTTTCGGATGCTCTTATGCCCCTGATGTGGAATGTCATATATCTCCGGCACAAACCACGCTTTCTTCCATCTAACAAGTTGTTAGGAAAATATCAGATGTTGATGTTAATCAAAACTTAGAAGTCCCCATCAGAAAATGAATTCTACATTAGCTAGTGGAACTCTTAGTAATTGCAACACTACAAAACCCCTGACTAGGATATATATTTCAATGTGTCTACTTGAATGCAAAACCTAACTAGTAAATATGTGATGTAAGCAAGCGCAGATAACTACTTTTTCAATCTAAAAGTTAGACATAATAAGTAGAATACCTTGCAGAACCCCGACCTCTGATGAAAAAAAAAAACATTTAATTGTAAACTTTGCAAAGAGTATGACCACAAAGAAATGAACAGAAATATTTGGAAGCTAAATCTCAATATATGCTACTCCCTCCATCCCAATTTTTAATTTTTTTAAATTAGTGTGGTGTCCGGGCTAGCTTTCACACACCTCGACTAATTCCACGGGGTACCTGCCAACTCCCGCCAGCAATAGGAACCATGTAACTCTATCGACCCCATTCCAATTTTACTCTTCATATTTGGGGAATATTTGATACAATTCCACCAATGATGCCATTCTATAAAACTTTCACAACTTTAAGAAGTTCGAATTGACGAATCTATCAAATTCTATCTTTTGAATGGTTTTCAATCAAACTGATTTCTTCAACTAGTACTTAGATATATTTTTTCCTCTAAGAGGCAAGTCAAATAAACACGTTAAACTCCATATCCTACAAAATGAACCGGAGTAAGTACTAGAATACTACTTTAACCCCCGAAGAATAAGAATAGTAAGCAAAATACATATAAAGCGAAGTAACACTCAAACACAAACAATTAGGTCACACTTCGAAACAAATTAACAAACATTTGGCTGTAATAGAGTATGAATTCGACAAAAACTTATTGAAAAATTAAGGAAGATGAACAAACCTGAAGTGAATAATCACAGCCCTATAAGTACCTCGGAGTCGGAGAATGTTCTTAGCAATAAGCAGAGAATTTTTTAGTAAAAAATTAGAACTCTTTAAACTATTACAGTATATTTTTATTCTTAATTGTACCCAGCGTGCCGTTTTGCGCGCGCATTTCTGATTTTCTTCTTTTTCTTTTCCCCCTCTGTGGGAGAAATTATCTTTTTGTGAAGGCTTAAAACCAAATTGTAATTCGAAAATATAAAATCAAAACAAATTTTATATATATTTATTTCTATTTTATATATTTTTTTATATGCAAATTATTACTTCATATCTAAATTTTTTGAATTCTTTTTCACTTTTAATTTTTGGTGATAGGTGATATTTTATCAATTAAATGTTGGAAAATATCGTTTCCCCAAGACAATCATTATATAAATTGTTAAGATAATTATATAAGTAATAAGTTGATAAATTTTAACTAAAGATAAAAGTTAAAATCATATAATCTAATTCTTAATAAAAGATAAAAGTTTCTGAGATGTATTGGTCAAGAGAATATACCTCTGTATAGGTGTCATGAGTAGGGTTGCTTATGGTTATAGTTTAAAAACTCAATTGAATAGTTATTTGAACCAAATCGATTAAGAAAATGGATATTTTAATTGGTTTAATTTAGTTATTTTGGTTTTAAATTTTGAAAATCGACACTATTTGGTTTGGTTTGGTTTGGTTTTGGTTGTACTAAAAATATCGCAAAATAATCAAATCGAACCAAGAAATTATTTATATAAATTTTATAATTATTTATATATTATTCATAAATAAAATATAAATATTTTTGTAAAGTTTAATTAACTTTAAGTTTTAACTTTATCATTTTCTCAAGTCCAACACTTAAATTTTAACCCAAATGTTACAGCCCTAAGTCAAGTCCATCAAAATCAATTACTTTAGTCTCTACCTACCCTACTTCACATAAGATAGTCATATTTTCTCTTAATTGAATCACTTTATTCGTATAATAATAACTTTTGTATTACTTAATTGAATCCACATAGTTTTCAAGTGGATTGTTCATGTACTAGGTGTCTGTGTCTATCGAGATATGTATATCCTGAAAAAAATTATTACTTTCAAATCGAATTAAAAAAATCGACAATTATTTTTTTCGTTTGATTTGGTTTAATTTTTTATTTTTTCGTTTGATTTAGTTTGGGAATCAGGATTAAGAGTTTGGGAGTTCTAAATTTTATTTAGAACTATCCATCAATTTTGTTAGGGATTCACAAATTAATATACATATATTTAATTAATTTTCTAGTACAAATACAAAGTATACAAAAAGGCTATTGGGTTCTCCCGAATCCATGAACCCCACCTAGCTCCGCTTCTGCATGCAACAATATTTGCTTACATTCAATTACAGGTGTAATGATAATTTTCAAAAATGAATGTATTAATGATTTCCAGTCATACACTTTAAATGAGTAGAGAAGCTAGGTTTTGTTAATCGGATTAAATTATAATTTGTTATTGACCCATCTTGATTCAACAAATTTTTATCCAAATAAATTTTAAACAGATTTGATCATGATCCAATAATTAATTTTACATATTTTGATCGTATAATCTTCAGCTACTTTGCCAATAATATGTACTTCTATTTTTCTCTCAAGATTTGGAGAGATTCATATTTGATGGGCGAGTTAGTAATTTAGCATGTTTATAGTGTGATGACTTAAACTTAATGCATAAGGTACTTATTTTACATGACTAATTGGCAAGTGACAAACTTGAGCAGACATTTGATCATAGGATTTGAGACATGGATTTAAAATTAATATTTGTTTATGAAATATTAATAAAATTATAATTTCAAATGATGATTGGAAATTTGAAATTCTCCAAGAAATAAAATAAAAATCCAATTTGTGATTTTTTTTTTTTAAATAATGTAAAACTCTACCCATATGAATACATTTTGCACATAAAATCCATCATTTTAAATTTAGAAAAAAGAATCAAGCTCGTCGTAAAGAAATTGTATGTACGATGTAGGAGGATATATAAAAGAATAACTAATTATTCCGATCAACGAATACAACAACAACAAAATAACTAGTGTAATTCCGCAAGTAGGTTCCGAAAAGGGTAATGTGTACATAATCTTGCTCCTACATTGTGAAAGTTGATTTATTCAATAAGTTAATCTTTACAAAAAAAATGTATGTATTTTAAAAGTTTGCAATAACATGTGATCACAAATAAGTTTTTATATAAAAAAAATAGAGATATGCAATGATTTATTAATGTAGTGTCTTAGAATATTATACTACCTTATTTGTGAATTATAATTTGCTAATTGATAAAATTGTTTAAGAGTTGATTTTTTTTTTTTTAAATCACAAAATGTGATTTTTTTTCATGGTTAGAAATCATATCCAAACGAGCATAATATTTTTATTTCACATTCGTCATCAATCCTAACCTACTTCCACATTTTCTTAAAAAATTTCTTAAAAGTTTGTTAATCGGTGTGAATCAATGTTGTAAAAACATTATTAGGATTCTGCAATGTTCTCCCCTAGGCGAGACATTTACAAATGGTTTGATGTAACACCAACAACAAACTTGATGTATTCTTACAAGTGAAGTTCAAAGAGATGACATATCTTGAAATAAGTAAAAAAAAATTGATTCACCTACAACACGCTGCTAGGTACATATAAAAGAAAAACTCTAACTTGTTATACATTGGACAAAGAATAAAATATACAAGTTTTAAAAGTTTGTTTTTATATGTGAACAACGATCAAGGAGAAAAAAAAATTTGGGTCGAGAAATAAAAAAGAATAAAAATCAAAACACATGTGACATGTAGTAAAATAGAAATACTATTACTTGTAGGTCAACTAGTCACCATTCATCTTCCTACTACATATAAAAGCTACGCAGTTACACTGGAAAAAAGATATGATAGAATATATAATCTCACAAAAAATAGCAGAGACCATTTTAAGGAAGAGTTACATTCCTACTTTGAGCTAATTCTACACTAATACTATTAATGAGGATCATTTTTTTTATATAAATAAATCTTTAAAATGGAGCAGTTGATGCCTGCTAGTGCCTTGAAATTGAGTCCAAAATTTGCATCTTCCTTTGTTAAACCCTTAATTTCAGATTCTCTATTGTATGTTTCCTTTTCAAAAGCTTTTCTTCATGATTCAACATTTCCTCTTTTGCTTCACTCAACTCACTTTTCTTTCATTCAAGACAAGCTTAACTTTCTTTCTTCAGGAGGCTCCAAGTATTTATCCTCATTTGCTTCACACGTATTCATCTTTTCATTTTGATCTTTTGAGATAATATAAGCAAATAGAACGTTAGAATGTACATCTTGATTGTGATAAAAATTAAAATATATTGTTTATAATCATACCATTGTGTGCTTTAACAATAAAATCCATAAGAACAACAACAACATCAACTTGTGACAAGCAATTTTATCGTAAAATGTATACCTAAAATAATAAAAACTATAATTAGGCCTAACAAAAACAACAACATACCAAATGTACTTCCACAAATAGGGTAGGGGTGGATGGTACATAAATTTACCCATACTTTAATTTGTGAAGGTAGAGAGATGTAATGGAGAAAAGGATAGTAGCAACAACGAATAATGTGACATTGAAACAAAAAAAACAACAAGTAATAAAAATTAAAGAATAATATATAGAAGAGTAATACCAATAACACTGATAAGGAGAACTAGACAAGGCTCTGTTGTATACTATCTTTCTACCTTAATCCTCGAATTTTGTGATGTTCTTGTAAGTTGAGGTGTGTCTGTTGACACCCAATTTTGACCCTCCACAATATAAATTAATCATTTCGAGCTTCTCCAATTTCAAACAATTTAAAATTATTAGTTTTATAAAATTTCTAAAATAATAATAATAATAATAAAAATAAATAAATAATA